TGACTTCAGCCCTCACTGATCAGTGTTCCAAAGCATTCGGCCCAACAATGGATCAAACGCCCTTGCCCATCTCCATAGCACCGTGCAGCCATGCGCACCTTGAACTAATGAATCTAACTGAAGTGTCGCTTGCAAGCTGTGGAAAGAGCAAACACTGACATGCTAACATCGCCTCCCTTAGACACACCATTCTTGTGCTTCAGTGACTTCGGAGGGGAGGGTGTGTCCACCTGGCTCTCCGACGGCGTCTATGAACACTGTGGAACGTGGCAACCCAGTGACACGGTTAAGCGCGAACCACAAGCCACTTCATATCATTCGCCAGGAGGCCATGGCAGCCTCAGTCTAACCACCACCTCACAGCAGAGCAAGCGCACGGTCAAGGCTTGAAGGAGGTGGATGCAGACCCTCAGCCGAGCCTCTGGCGGGTGCAAGCGAGGCAGACGGGGGGCTACTCTATGGCTGTAATCGAGAAAGCTCTCTCCCCAGGGCACTCTTCATTGCTCCCCAGTCTGCACTGTGATGCCAAAAACAAAGAGAGGGAGGGAGAGTGGGATGACAGCATTCTCCCTGGTTCGGCTTCTCCAAGCCCTGTCTATCTCCCACCTCTCATGGTGCACGGCCTCCATTTCTTATGTCTGTACAAGAGAAACCTATTTCCCTCCTTTGCACGGCTCAGATGTCTGTATTTTATGCAAAGTACCACGTTTTGCCTTGTTTTATCCATGCGTCTTGCTTAAAATCTGTGAAGACCTGGACCTGTGTTTTGTTCATGCTAGAATTACCTCACAGCATTCTCTGCTCTTCCAGAAGTGCCCCTTGGATTAACTCGTGATGAAGCATCAAATGATAAGTGAAAAATTCGTGGGAAGGCACTGTTGGACAGAGGAACCTTGGAAAGATGGAAACGTGGCTGGAGAACTCAAAGTCAAGGAGACCGAAGGAAGAGACGCGCAAGTCGGGGCCACCACCCCAGTGACTTCCTGCTCACCGCACATTGCTGCTCTGTTCCCCCAAGAGCTTCTCTTCCCTGCCAAGCCTTGTTAGCAGGCACATTCTCCTAGTTATACACATAACCAGAACCTAATAGTCTCTTTCTGGGTAGTTACAGTTGCCATTTGGGTAAGGCAGACACATCACACAAATCTTTAAACAAGAAGACAGGACATGAGCTACGTTAAACACCAAAGCGGTGGTCTCTGGTGGTGGCTTAGGGGTCCCATAGAAGCTTATCACCCACCAATTTAGAAAGTGTATTCTATATTCCCGTTAGCTTGCCCGCCGAGAGATCCTATGAAATTATGTCCCCCAAGCCCCCATTCCCATCCTTCTAGAGGAGAGGCCCTAGCAAAAGATCTGGCTGAGAGCACCGGCAGGCTGTCCCAGGATTCTTGGTGTACTGATTTTCCTCCTTCTTCAGGCCCATCCCCAAGCGAGTCCTCCCCAGCCTACCCAAGGAGGGCGGCTCCGGCTTCCAGAAGGCAGATGCCTCAGGGGACTCGGTGGCCACTGAGAAAGCACTTGAAAAACTCCATAAACATTTACTGATGACAAGATGAGTTATCCATCGTCCCTGCCCTCATTTACAGCCTGCAGGGAAAGTCAGACTCTACAGAGAGAAAGTTCAATATAATTCATTTAGTAATGGAGGTTGTACACACTGTCTCCATGCCGATAAAAACAAACAAAACAACAATGAAGCCTCACTGACATCGAGTCCATTCCAAAGCACAGTGACCTTAAAGGACAAGGTCTAACTGCCCCCGTGGGTGACGACAAATAATTCTTTATGCAAGCAGAAAGTCTCACCCTGTTCCTGCAGAGCCGCGGGTGGTTTCGAACTGCTAGGCCTTGGGTTAGTAGTCAAACTCAGAACCCAAGAAGCCACCAGTGCTCCTAAAATACAGCACACAAATCTGAACAGAAGGGGATGCACTTGAGACAAGAAAGCTGCCTTCCACAAGGTATTAGAGCATTTTATGCCGGTACCCTCAGAAAGGATGGGTTTGACGGGTGCTCTCATCCCTTTCCTTTTGTAAGAGCACTTCCATCCCTTCCCTTGAGGATTGTCACTCCCAGTCTCCATGGTCTGGAAAGGCTGCCCACCATGGTTCTGCAGCACGACACAGGTCCTAAAACCTAAAACCAAGCAACAGAGCCCGCAGGGAAGAAGCATGCCAGCCTGTGTGATTATGAGGTATTGACGGGATCAGGTATCCCATCAATCATATGGGTGAGAATGGGGGTGGTCAGAGTGGAGACCCAAAGCCTATCGATTGGACATCCCCTCACAGAAGGGTCACA